TGGCCGGGCTCTGCAGGTCCCGCTCGCCTCCTGCCCCTGAGACCCCGGTCCGGCCCGTATCCATCTGCATGGCCTGCAGGACCCCGCGCGGCTGGAGGGATCCCTGACCTCGTGACCCCTGGTGAAGGTGCAGGGACTTGGGGGAAGGTTCTGGGGTGGGGGTGGCCCCTTGCACCCTGCAGGCTGCTAAGGTCCCTGTCCTCCCAGGGCCCAGCTGGATTGGGGTCCCCTCCTCCAGGGGGTCTGGAGGCCCCGGGGCTGCTCATCACACTCCCGTCTGCACACATTCAGCTGCTCATTCCTATTTCACCTCTCACACATCCACTCACCTGCTCACTCACACACTCACTCACCTGCCCATTCATCCATTCATTCAGCTGCTCACTCACACACTCACCTGCTCACTCACCCATCCACCTGCTCACTCACACATCCATTCACCTGCTCACTCACCCATCCACCTGCTCACTCACACTCACCTGCTCACTCACCCATCCACCTGCTCACTCACCCACCCACCTGCTCACTCACCCACCCACCTGCTCACTCACACACTCACCCACTCACTCACACATCCATTCACCTGCTCACTCACACACTCACCTGCTCACTCACCCATCCACTCACCTGCTCACTCACACACTCACTCACCTGCCCATTCATCCATTCATTCAGCTGCTCACTCACACACTCACCTGCTCACTCACCCATCCACCTGCTCACTCACACATCCATTCACCTGCTCACTCACCCATCCACCTGCTCACTCACACTCACCTGCTCACTCACCCATCCACCTGCTCACTCACCCACCCACCTGCTCACTCACCCACCCACCTGCTCACTCACACACTCACCCACTCACTCACACATCCATTCACCTGCTCACTCACACACTCACCTGCTCACTCACCCATCCACTCACCTGCTCACTCACACACTCACTCACCTGCCCATTCATCCATTCATTCAGCTGCTCACTCACACACTCACCTGCTCACTCACCCATCCACCTGCTCACTCACACATCCATTCACCTGCTCACTCACCCATCCACCTGCTCACTCACACTCACCTGCTCACTCACCCATCCACCTGCTCACTCACCCACCCACCTGCTCACTCACCCACCCACCTGCTCACTCACACACTCACCCACTCACTCACACATCCATTCACCTGCTCACTCACACACTCACCTGCTCACTCTCACATCCATTCACCTGCTCACACACACTCACCTGCTCACACTCACCTGCTCATCTGCCCGCACCCCAGGGGAAGCCCCTGAGACCCTCTTGTTGGAAACGCTGGGTGTTTTATTAACTTCCAACGGAACGGCACACGGTCCGGCAGCTGTCACTCGGCAAATCTTCAGTGGGTTCACCCCAGCGCCCAGGCCCAGAACAGCTGCTTAGTAGCGACTCAAACCCAAAGGTATTTTTCTCTCTCTTTTTTCCCCTTCCCTCTCACTTTCTCATTTCCTTCCCCTGTGTGTGTGTGTGTGTCCCAACTTGCAGGTAAAAACCGCAGACACTGGCCCGGCCGGCATGGCTCAGGGGTTGAGCATCGACCTAGGAACCAGGAGGTCCCGGGTTCGATTCCCGCTCAGGGCACAGGCCCGGGTTGCAGGCTCCATCCTCAGTGTGGGGGGTACAGGAGGCGGCCGGTCCATGATTCTCTCTCATCATGGATGTTTCTCTGTCTCTCCCTCTCCCTCTGAAAGCCAATGGAAACATCCTTGGCTAGGATTAACAACAACAAAAAATTACGTGTACAGTATAGAAATCACATACGTGTCTCTCTCTATGTATATATACATATATACCTTTATTTGTGAAACAATTTACAAATTCTATATAAAATACATTCTTGCACGGACAATTATATGTTTAACAATCTGCTGGTGTCGGCGGGGACGCCTGAGTAAAATAGCAAAAGCCGCCGGGGGCCTGTTCGAAGGCACGGCTCCCTCTCTGAAAGTCCGGAGTTTTCCCAATAATAACGGATATATCCGAATAAAACCACCGGTCCCACTTACTGGCCTGATACACACAGGGATGTGTGTGCGTTCACTTGCTCTTTTTTTTGGTAACTTACATTTTTTTAAAAAACAATATTCTTTTTTTAACATATTTTTTATTGCTTTCAGAGAGGAAGGGAGAGGGAGAGAGAAACATCCACGATGAGAGAGAGTCATGGACCGGCTGCCACCGGCGCCCCCTCCACTGGGGGAGAGATCGAGCCCGCAGCCCGGGCACGTGCCCTGGGCCGGACTCGAACCCGGGACCCTTAGGTCTGCAGGCTGACGCTCTAACCATTGAGCCACACCGGTCAGGGTCAGAGGTAACTATTAATAGAAGTTTCGAAGGCTTCCGTGGGTAACGATATTAAAAAAAACAAACAAACAAACCACAAGAAACAGTTTATGCCCCGGATGTGGGCCGGATCCCCAGGAGGGGGCGTGCAGGAGGCGGCCGATCCATGAACCGGCGCCCCCTCCACTGGGGGAGAGATCGAGCCCGCAACCCGGGCACGTGCCCTGGGCCGGAATCGAACCCGGGACCCTTAGGAGGGGGCGTGCAGGAGGCGGCCGATCCATGATATTCTCTCTCCTCGTGGATGTTTCTCTTTCTCTCTCTCCCTTCCTCTCTGGAATCAGTAAATTAATAAATGTATTTTTTAAAGGAACGGTTTAATTTTTAAAGAGGAATGCAGCGCTCCCGCTCGGCTCCTTCCGGCCCCGGCATCCGGGCCGCCTCGCCCCCTCCCCTCCCCTCCCGTCCGTCCGTCCGTCCGTCCGTGACGGGCATTTCTCGGTTCCACTCACCGGCCCTTTTCAGAAACCAGACACTCGGCCTGGGACACAGCACGGGCCGAGCCTCCCATGGGGCGTCTGGGAACCTTGTCGGTAAAACGGGCAGCGTGACCCAAACGAGGCCTCCGCCCGCCCGCGCTCCGAGCTCTGACGGCGCCGGGTCAGCCCTGGCCCGTGTAGCTCAGTGGTTACAGC